TAAATTTATCATCAACCAGAACAGAATGGAAGGAGGGTCTCCCTGGCGAAGTGGTCAAACCGTTTGCCTTGCGCTCCGAAGGTCATGGGTTCGCTCCACGGCTCCGTCGCCGGAGCTATGGAGTTCGTGATCTGTGCTATGCTCTCCCCAGGCGGCTAGCCAATCTGCGGAGAGAGACCGAGCCATATGGGATAAAATCCGGTGCAATGACGTCGATCCTCTCGACTTTAACGTTAAGAATACGAGTCTTTAGCCTAAAAACACTTGGAGACATACTCAGGAGGAGATCGGATCACTTATGGTCATGTCCGATGTGCGATGACGATAAACTTTAAAATGAACCATAAACACAATAAAAATAATTATGAGTTGCTTAATGTTCACGGAGTACCCGACTCGTCTACAGTTAATTGAACAAAAATGATACCAACATTTATTTTCACATTGGTATAAGCAGTCAATCAGTGCGTGAAATATGTCTCATATTTTCTCGATCCACATATGAAAACAAGGCAGTCAGTCAGTGCGTGAAATATGTCTCATATTTTCTCGATCCACATATGAAAACAAGGCAGTCAATCAGTGCGTGAAATATGTCTCATATTTTCTCGATCCACATATGAAAACAAGGCAGTCAGTCAGTGCGTGAAATATGTCTCATATTTTCTCGATCCACATATGAAAACAAGGCAGTCAGTCAGTGCGTGAAATATGTCTCATATTTTCTCGATCCACATATGAAAACAAGGCAGTCAGTCAGTGCGTGAAATATGTCTCATATTTTCTCGATCCACATATGAAAACAAGGCAGTCAGTCAGTGCGTGAAATATGTCTCATATTTTCTCGATCCACATATGAAAACAAGGCAGTCATTCAGTGCGTGAAATATTTCTCATGTTTTCTCGATCCACATATGAAAACAAGTTGAAGAACACTGATACAGTTGACTTATCTGAAAGCCTAACATACAAACCTCCATTCGGACGATTGTTGACACCTTCTTCTTGCTATGCTACCAGAGTTCTAAAGCTTTTGACATTTGTTTCTATTAGGGGTTTTCATAATTTTGATTTTAAACACGTTTCATGCTGCTATTAATCTTCGTGGTAGTGATGATGATGATGACGGAAATGGTGATGATGGTGGTGGTGATGATAATTATTTTGATGATGAGGGTATGCTGCTGCTCACAAACCGCGTCAAACATTTTGAGTTCAAACACGTTTTTCTTATTATTGCTGTTGTTGATGAAAACGATGATGATAGTGACGATGATGATGAAGATATTGATGATAATAACGTTGATGAATATGATAATGATGAATTTATGGTGTAATTTACAAGCCTCATCAGATCGACTTGTTGACAATTATATAATTTTAATAATGTCTGTCTGTCCCCTACTTATTTGCTGTTTTGTACATCTCCTTGTCTGCAAATTTATTTCCTTGTCTGCCCGCGTGTCTGCTCTATCAGTTTCATTTGTGTAGGGTTCTAACCACGCCAGGTAGTGAGTGCAGGGACTGGCCAGCTGGTGCTGCAGAATCAACAGTTCAACAAATGAAGCATGAATATTCCCGCCCAAACGATGTGATTATCTATACAAACGGCTCTGTGTTAAGGGGCAAACGAAGTGCATGGGGTTTCATAGCAAAAGCGAATGAACGTCACCTAGTGTACCAACGACTTGCATATAATTTCACAACGTCTAGTTTGAGAATGGAGGTGGAGGCAGTCTCTGCCGCCTTCCGCTGGCTTGAGAATCAGCTGTACACACATGCCGTAATTGTAACTGACTTTCTGAGCATGTTAAGAAAGGTGATTACAGGCATGCTTCGTACAGAGTGGCAAGCATCACTTCAGAGGTCCTGGGTAGTTTGCATCCTTTTGATATTTTTCTCCAGGGTATGCCGGTGAGTTGGAAAATGAGCAGGCAGATAGACTGGCTGGCTAGGCACCACTTCGTGGTAATATGATGTATAACAAGTTAGATATTGTGAGAGCCCTTGGGAACGGGTGAACAGTGCAGAGGCGTAGGTGGATCATTACGGTCTGAGGAGAATGGCGCTGCGAGGGGTTACCAGGGGATCTGGCCGACACTCAACACTCAGGGGAAGGATGAGACGGATATACAATCAGGCAGTTACTGCCACCATTGGAATTGGAACTCTTCGCTTGCTGCTGAAGGTAGGGACTGAGCATTTATGGGAGTGCCCCGGGTGCTGTAATGTCGATTCCTAATTCAACATTCAACATTCAGTTTCATTTTGATTGCCATTAACGATCAAATGTCACTCTCTACAGGTCCACGAGGACAGTATGAAAACCTCTGCGGTGCTGGAGAAGTACAAGATAGGCCCACATGTTTGTTTATCTTATCTGTCATTGTCGTGCAATTATTCTTGAACATCACAATTCAGTTTAACTGTCACCACTGATCTCTTGTTAACTCTCTGAATACTTCAGTCAGAAATCTGTGATGATATTACTGTCGTGTTGGGAAAGTCCAGACTGGAGGCGCTTTACTTTGTAGTGTAAGGCAAAGTTATTTTGTAGTTAACAAAGCAGGCAGAGAGAGAGAGAGAGAGAGAGAGAGAGAGTGTGAGTGAGAGAGAGAGTGAGAGAGAGTGAGAGAGGGAGAGAGAGAGAGTGAGAGAGAGAGAGAGAGAGAGAGAGAGAGAGAGAGAGAGAGATCGTGGACAATACATGGTCACTAAATGTTATAACTGTGACTAGGTTATGTGCGCCTTTTATAAAGGCTTTACATTGTTCGCCACTAAAGTAGCCCTGAAAAGGACTTGCGGTGTTGATGCGATCAGATGAGACAGACCCTGATACTGTCCCGACCGGCGACGAAGTCGTCTACCGTCGAACCAATGGGCGACGCGGTCGCAGATGTCTGTTTGTTCTTCTCCGTCAGCCCTTAAAAGGGCGGTTAGCACACTGTTGTGTTTTACAGCTAGACTGCAATATCTGAATTTGTCAGCCTAAGACATTATATTCAGATAAACTCCGAATTAGTCGCCTTCTAGGACATACTTGTAAGGGGGCAGTGGCTGACAGCATAAGCATAAACACATGTAGATAGTATTTTACTTTACGAAATCTAATGTCAGAAATTACAATTTTTTAGCTAATCGAACATCTGCTTAGAGGTTGCCACTCTTATATCCGTTTCTGGAACGTTGTTTCTGGGAGGCAAAGCGTTGCAATATCATTCATTCAGTTTCTGTGTTTGATTTTTTTTAATGAAAAATATTTTTTTTTGCAGTTATGAAGTCCAAGAAATGATCAACAATTTTAAGGCGTTATAATCACCCCCCCCCCCCCACACACTTCCACCCCACCCCCATCCTCCCCCCTCCCCGAAGAGACCATTACCTTGTAGTGGTAGGAGAGCTTGACAACCGCAGTGATAAAGAGAACTATGCCGGCGAGAACGTATGTTCCTGGCAGGGTCACCCAAGCTGGACAGGTCATTGGTGAGGGGCCAGACTAAAGTTGGCCTCCCGATCCTCCAGGCTCGGGGATTGGGCGCAGTGTTGACAGCTCTGCCCTGTAAAAAAACTACAACATTACTGAAACTTCCAGAGGAAAGAAAGCATGGAAAGTCCTCTCTGAAGCCTCATGTGCCACTAGGCACACACAGAAACTGATTGATGATAATCAGAAGTAAGTAAAGGATACCTTTCCTCGCCTTCTTACGTATGGGGCATATAGGGCTAGACCTATATTAAATAGACCAGTAGTTCTCAACCTTTGTAATGCCGCGACCCTTTAATACAGTTCCTCCTGTTGTTGCGACCCCCAGCCATAAACAATTTTTGTTGCTACTTCATAACTTCAGTGATATCCGATGGCCTTTGGCGACTCCTGTAAAATGGGGTCGTTTAACCAAAAAAGGGTAGTGACCCACATATTGAGAACCGCTGGTATAGACAAATCGACACTCAGTGAGTGACATTGTCAACACCACGTCGGCTGCCTTTACTTCCCATTTTTTTAGCTGATACCTATTTAAGACTGGGTCGACGGGAGCCAAGGTCATAGGGAGGACGGAAGTGGGTTGGCGGGGAGATCAGGCTTTAATAGGATTCGAACCCACGACCTTCGGATCCACAGGCCAGCGCCTAACCGCCACAACACGGCAGCTGCCAGCTTTGTAATTAAAAGATGGATATTCACTCGCTCTTCGCAGTGTAGTGTCCGAACCATGTTGCTGCCTAGTTATTAGGCGGAACCGTCGACGGACGGACAGGAAATTTCAGCTGATCAGCACTGAAGCCAAAAGGAGTTAAACATAAAAACTACACTATACCAATCTCCGAGAGCCTTTTTCTCAACTTCCTTTTACAAATAGGAATGGAATACTTAGCTGTATACTTGACACTCAAGATAAGACAAGAAAGAATTTGAACGTTAGATTTAGAAAATTGCAGGCATTTTTGTGTGTGTTAAGTCTCTGATCCTCTTTTTGTTTACATAGATTTTTTATTTTAATAACATTAACTTGCCAGAATGTCAAATCAAACTGTGGGATGATTTACTGAAATCATTAATTTGTCCAGAAGTTAAACTATTATCATAATCGTCATCGCAACATGTCTTTCCTGGCACATGTTTTCGGTAGAGATTTACTGGGGTTAAAGGTGTCAATGATACTGGCACAAAAGTCGTAGGGATTGTGGTTTTCAGACGACGTGCAGCAATTAGTTATATCAGACTCATCTGCTAAATGCGACAAGTGACAGTGTTAGAGATTTGAACTGCCTTCGCTAGTAACCTCCGCTGTGTTCTGATTCAAGGAAAGTCACAGGGATTGACTAAACTTTGGAAGACACAAAGTTTATACAACTATTTAAAGCAGCCATCGTTTGCTGTACAGTCACGAAAAAAACATGGTTAATTATTACTTTTAGTAAAAGGGAGGATTCGTATTTTCATGACGCCATAACTGATTTCAATCAGGGAACGTTGTGTTGTAGGATATTTGTGCTGCATGTGTAAGGTAAGTAGTATTTTGCACATTTACCTAATAACTTTTCTCATGTAGAGGAGGAGACAACTGACGTACATCGTGACAGTGCCTGGAGGGGAAAAGAGGCAGGAGGAGACTGTGAGATAAGATGCTGGACAACAAGGTGTTGAAGATCAATTTGTGTCAGAATTGATTAAAAGTACACGAGACAGAAGGTTGTGGATAGATATGACTACTAACGCCACATGGAATAGACTATGGAAGATCATTTGTGTCAGAATTGATTGAAAGTACACAAGACAGAAGGTTGTGGATAGACATGACTACTAACGCCACACGGCATGGACTATACGAGGAATTTAGAAGAAAACTTATTTACATATAAATTACAATTTGTCTTTAGAGCAGAAAAGGTGGAATTTTTCTTGACCATCTTTTATGTTGCACTGTGACAAATTCTGTTCGAATCATTTTCGTCGTTCCCTAGCCTTGACAACGGAGACAATTTCAGTTGTAACATTCGACTGAGAACGATCTGTATTGCATCTAAATCGGAACGGTCATGAATAACGCGTGGCAGAAGAAACATTCTGATAATGAATGAAATGAATGAATGAACTGACATTAATGCACTCAGGACATTCCCACAAGTGCTTCATCCTCATCTTCAGTAGCTAACGAAGAGTCGTCAAGCTTATAGTTGCAAGCTGATTAAAAATCCGTATATCCTTCCCCTTCAGTGTTGAATATTTTCCAGAACTTCTAACTCACCCATCCACATCACCATCCGCATCACCATCCACATCACCATTTACATCACCATCCACATCACCATCCACATCACCATCCACATCACCATCCACATCACCATCCACATCACCATCCACATCACCATCTACATCACCATCCACATCACCATCCACATCACCATCCACATCACCATCCACATCACCATCCACATCACCACCCACATCACCATCCACATCACCATCCACATCACCATCTACATCACCATCCACATCACCATCCACACAACCATCCGCATCACAATCCACATCAACATCCACATCACCATCCACATCACCATCTACATCACCATCCACATCACCATCCACATCACCATCCACATCACCATCCACATCACCATCCACATCACCATCCATATCACCATCCACACCCCCACCCCTCCCCACCCGCACCCAACCCCCGCCCCTCGCAGCGAGAAAATTAATTAAAAAAGAGAGTTGTTGAACATGTGTAGCGTATCTTTGGGAAGTATATTTGAAAAGTAGGTGACAACAAACATACTTGGTTTGAAAAAAAAAAAAAGAGAGAGAGAGACGAAAGAGATATCAACTTCCAAGTGTTTTTACCATGGTAAGACAGATCTTTAAAGATTATTCAGTTATTTCAATCTGTAATATGTACTAAAAATTATATTATTGTGAATATAAATTAGTTTGTCTTGGATGCATATACTTTTTGTTTACGAGAATTTACATCAATACCCGCATAGAAACTACAGCAGCTGCTGCTTTTGTTGCTGCTGCTGTTGCTGCTGCTGTTGCTGCTGCTGTTGCTTCTTCTTCTTCTTCTTCTTCTTTTTCTTCTTCTTCTTCTTCTTCTTCTTCTTCTTCTTCTTCTTCTTCTTCTTCTTCTTCTCTTCTTCTTCTTCTTCCACATCTTCCTTTCTTCTTCTTCTTCTTCCTTCTTCTTCTCTTCTTCTTCCTTCTTCTTCTTCTTCTTCTTCTTCTTCTTCTTCTTCTTCTTCTTCTCTTCTTCCATCTTCTTTCTTCTTCTTCTTCTTCTTCTTCTTCTTCTTCACATTCACCATCCATCACTTAAATTCCACCATCTACATCATCATCTACATCACCATCTACATCATCATCTACATCACCATCCCCATCATCATCTACATCACCATCCACATCACCATCTACATCACCATCTACATCATCATCTACATCACCATCTACATCACCATCCACATCATCATCTACATCATCATCTACATCACCATCTACATCATCATCCACATCACCATCTACATCATCATCTACATCATCATCTACATCATCATCTACATCACCATCTACATCATCATCTACATCACCATCTACATCATCATCTACATCATTTATCACATCATCATCTACATCATCATCTACACTCATCATCTACATCATCATCTACAAGCATTTACATCTAACATCATCATCTACATCATCATCTACAGCATCAACTACATCATCATCGATACATCATCATCTATACATCACCATCACACATCATCTACATCATCATCTATCTACATTCATCATCTACATCATCATCTACATCATCATCTACATCATAACATCTACATCATCATCTACATACACCATCTACATCATCATCTACATCATCATCTACATCACTGCATCTCTACATCATCATCTACATCATCATCTACATCATCATCTACATCACCATCTACATCATCATCTACATCATCATCTACATCACCATCTACATCATCATCTACATCACCATCTACATCATCATCTACATCACCATCTACATCACCATCTACATCATCATCTACATCATCATCTACATCATCATCTACATCATCATCTACATCATCATCTACATCACCATCTACATCACCATCCACATCACCATCTACATCACCATCCACATCACTATCCACATCACCATCTACATCACCATCCACATCACCATCCAAGTGAGGGTTGTTCTCCCACCTCCGTATTTAAGTTTTGTTTAAGAACCTGAGTTTTGCGTGCACAACCAATTCAAAGATCTGACTTATTTGTGTGTAGACTGTTGGTTCCTTACATCTCAGGCAGATACACTTCAATTTTGAAGGAGGTGCTCCAATCAGTCGACTTCTACGACATGCTTGTTGGGAGAGAGTGCGTCTATTCTGGTGTTGCCCACACACTAGAACCGGTGCCCTAATTAGAATTTAGTTGGAGATTGAACAGTGTATTTATAAAGCGTGAAAAGGGATCTTTACTTTTTTTTTTTTTACTGCTGGATTGCTGTCTGGGTGATAACTTTGAGAGTTGCAGGCTGGAAGGAAAACTGTGTCGGTCAGTCAACTTAGACACACACCAAAAAAAATACAGTTTTACTGGCGTTTCATTTGTTTTCTTATTTCATTTGTTTTCTTATTTCATTTGTTGGGTGAACACTGTCCTTCTTCTGTTCACATACAGGTTATGGCCGTCAGAAACATGAAGTCTCTTCAGAAAGAAGACGGTAGCTTTTACATTGGAAAGGCTGATGATAAATTTACAAATGATGTCACAAGCATAAAAAACAATAACTTCACACTTTGCAATGACAACAAACATGTTTATATCAGGGATTCGGTGTCACGTGACTCGCTGGCAGATGTCAAAGGTCGTCGGTGTACACAATATTGTCGTAAATTATTTGACACGGAACTCCAGGAGATGAGATCCACCGAGTTATGGCGAGCCTGTTTCACAGAGTTTGTTGGGACGTTTCTCTTGTGTTTTTATCACATTGGAATTATTATCTTTGGGTCCGGAGATGCAGAGCCGCCGCCGCTTTTGCACGTAAGTTTGAATGTGTTTCTGTTCATGCACACACGTGTCGTGATGATCAAAAACCCACCAATCATACTGAACGAACAAACTAGCGAATGAAGTGTATTGTCAGAGGGTGGAAGAATTGGCACGCTGGCACGTCTATCTTGTGTCCTTCTAGCCTTACTTCTTACATACGGAGCCCCGTTAGCGCAGCCTATAGGAGACTTGCTTTGAAATCCAGCCCACGGCCGGTGTTTGAAACTGGGCGGTTCCTGGGGTTCACCTAGCCTCTAATTAATGGGTACCAGAGTTAACACTCTTTGGTAAATGGAGGAACTTCGGAGTTACGTGTGGACGTACTGGTGGCAGAACACTTATGGTTTTATGACCGTGTGCAATGACGCTGGTTCACATCTCCCGACTTTACCTTTTGTCTTCCTTTATCATTTCATTCATAGATCATTTCATTCATAGATCATTTCATTCATAGATCATTTCATTCATACATCTTTCAACAGGCAATAATAAACATCAAGTCTAAACTAGATAGTCGGCTCTGTGGCTAAGTTGAGGCGAACGCTTCGTAATGCCGGGGTACCGGGTTCGATCCCAGCTGCGGGCATGCGCCTTGCGTTGGTTTCGACTGTGGTATCAAGACGCCGACCGTCCAGTAGCAGTGACACACAACTGGATGTAAATTTGCCTAGAGAAACCACACAACAACCAGGGGCTGCTGGGGTTGGTTTGGCGACGTCCTGTAAAGGATACGCAACTAACCTAAATTAGATAATAATGGTTTAAATTATACCTATATTTAAATCACAATAGAACATAGTTTTAGTAAATCTAGGGGAAAGATAGGCGAATTTTGAATATATTTTGTGTGTGTAAGACGGACATGTAATCTGTGTTTACATAATATTCGAATAGTTTCGGATTGTGTCTATAGGAATAATGTTTTTATTTCTTGTTAAACTGAGAAAGGTGTAGTAAAAGAAAAAGGGTGAGAACTGAGCAATGTGATTAAAAACATGCATCGTGCAGAGTGGCAAGTATCGCCTTTGATATATTCGGTAGCTAGCTTCCTTGGGAACTTTTCTCAGCGAAATTCAGGTGTGGTGGGAAACGAACAGGCAGCAAGACTGGATGCTGCAGCACCAATGGTTAGTGAACTCATGCATGACAAGCTAGATATGATCAGGGCCATGTGATAGCGAGTGAACAATGCGGTAGCGAGTGAACAATGCGGTAGCGAGTGAACAATGCGGTAGCAAGTGAACAATGCGGTAGCAAGTGAACAATGCGGTAGCAAGTGAACAATGCGGTAGCAAGTGAACAATGCGGTAGCAAGTGAACAATGCGGTAGCAAGTGAACAATGCGGTAGCAAGTGAACAATGCGGAAGAGAAAATGGATTATTACGATGCGCAGAGAACGTGCAGCAGAAGTGACTAGGGGGTTCTGATTTACATCTTACCCTCAGAAGAAACGCAATGCGTATTTGGCACAAAGGGCTAGACTTATATTTTATAGACAATCGGCAATTTAATGGCGCTGCGAGGAGTTACCAGGAGATTAGGCCGACGCTCAACACTCAAGAGAAGGGCGAGACGGTTATACAATCAGACAGTTACTGGTACCGTCGGAATTAGAACTCTTCGCTTGCTGATGAAGATGGGAACGGCGCGCTTATGGCTGTGTCAGAGTGCTATAATGTCGATTCTTAATTCAACATTCAACAGACCAATCGGCACTCAGTTGGTGTTGTGATCAGCATCACGCCAGCCGCCTTTACTTCCCAGGACTACACCTGGTGCCCACTCAAGGCTGGGTCAACCTGAAAGTCAAGGTCATTTTAAAAAGCCCGGCTCCATCAGGACCCGAACCCACGACCTTCAGATCCGCAGGTGAGCGTCTAGCCGCTACACCACGGGCACTCCCAGAAGCCAGCGTGTATGAGGGTTTAACTGATGTACTTGGATTGTTCCACACAGATCTCTTTTGGACACGGTCTGTTTGTGGCTGCTGTCGTCACGGCTCTAGGAGACACAAGTGGATGTCACATGAACCCAGCTGTCACCTTGGCCTTGGCCTCGTTACGTCAGATAGGAATAACCAGGTAGGACCATGCAAATGACTCTGCCAGTTTTTTTTTTTTTTTTTTAATCCAGAAACCATGAGTTCTTAACACTTTGGCTCGGTACTATGGATATCGCAACCCTTCGGCCTTGATTCCATGATAGGTACCGTAAATCTGGGAGAAATGTGGCTTTTCTGCCTACCCCCGGGAAGTGAACCCAGACCACAAGGAGTTCGTCACCCGGTTACCGCGATGTCAGGTTTAACCAACTACGCTAGAGAGCCGGGCTACTCTGCCAGTTCATGACCTTCATCGACAGGTACAGCCGATTGATGTGTCAGTCATAACCTGCTTGTTCTGTAGTTACATCAAGGGAGTGCATTGACGGAGTATTTCAATTGGTCTTTGCTTCCATGAGAGATCAAGGGCAGACAAATGGGATGCCACAAAGTGCCTAAAGGGATGGTTGTCGCAAGAAATAATAGATGTGACCGGTCTTTTGGGGAGAGGAATAAACTTAAAAGAAAGCCATGACTCTTTAACTCAGGAATGCCAAAAGCGATGAAGGAGATCGATTATATTTTAGCTAAGGGTTTGGTCCCAGAAAAATATTATATAACCAAACAGGAATTCGTGTGAACCAGATGGGAGATAGGACTCACTGGAATAGAAAATGTGAACACCTGGTAAATATCTAGTTAAAGACCATCCCACAATTTATAAAGCGCCCAACTGTGTTTTACAGTAAAGATGAAGAATTAATCTTGAATAACCACCATTCATACGTATGTTTAAAATGATAAGATTGAAGATAACATTTCTCACTTCATTGCATAAACTCCAAGAACACATATATTAATCAACAACCATATCGGGGCCAGAAATCTAATGTAGTGCCAATACACTAAAGTTTACAATCCTACGGGATGTATAAATCAGTCGTTCAATAGCATGACAGATTACAAATAAATATAACATGATCGGCAATCTTCGTTCAACTGAATACTCAGTAGGTTGAGGGTGGGTGTTCTACTCCTCTCCGGTATCAGACTGGAACATGTACACAAACAGCCGAAGCAGCCAGATAAGACACCGGCCTTGAAGAAATCAAACAAATTGG